AAGATCGGCGCCGCCTATCCGTTTACTCTGGTCGCACAGAGCAGGGGTGAGTTTGGTTATGCAGGGACGGAGGATTGATGCATGGCCTTTGGCAGTCAAAGGTCATGGAGGATCAATTAGCATGGTACCGGTGGTACGACCTCCTCGTGAACCACCACCATGGGATGTACGAGGTGCTAGAGTTCGTGAAAGTTTTTCTTGTAGTTTTTATCTATTTGTTATTTGTTTTCTTGTGGCCATTTTTTTGTTGGTTTTGACAGTTTGTTTGAGTTTTTTTATCTCTTTTTATGTCATTGGGTATGGTTGGATCTATGAGAACAGGTTTGGTTGTGTCAAGCCCACTACATGGTTAGCGATTTTTGTTGCTCTCTCAGGGGTGACCGTCTCAAAGTCTCACTATGGGGTTACAGTTGTAGTTGTTGGAGTTTCAGTTGGTGCCAATTTTATTTTCCCTTTGCTTGATGTAATGATCCTTAATCTTTTGATATTAATAGAGGCCTGTTTTGATGATAATAAAAGAGCGTTGCTAATATTTTTATCTTATTTTAAGCTAAAATCAGTAAGTAGGGCGGTAACGGTATAACAGTAGTTACGGTTGCCCTATGTCTTGCTAAAGTGATGGGAATACCCAGGATTTGGAGACAATGGATTATTGGATCTATATTGATGCAATGGGGCTTAATGAAGAAGATTTGATGGGCTTAGAATGTTGAATAAAGGCTTGATTGACTCAAGGGGATGTATTATCCCCGATTTACTCCCAACTCCTTTTGAGTAAGGGGGCTTTTAGTAGGTGTAAGGACGTTACACTGTTTGGTTTACTTATTTAATGAAAAGTGTAGAACACTTTTTTAAAACATTTCGCATTGTACCATGTAAAATATTTTACGTGAGGGGAGGGTGGTAAAATACTTTGCATGCCTTTTATGAAGCATTGCAACGGCTTTGCATGCAATTTAAAAACAAATTACACATCTAGCCAAACAATGTAATCTATTTTACATGTATAATGATTGTTTCTCTATACTTTGCATGCAATCCTTTCGCGTGCAAAGATTTAATGTGTAAACTACCAAACGAGCCCTAAGGGTATGTTTTGGAGAAGAAGACTTTGAAGGTATATTGCTGAATGAGAAAAAAAGGGAAGGTGGGGAAACTTTGTATTTGGGAGTCACGAATTTGAAAAAAGAGTTTTTGAATGAATTATAATTGATATCATTTTGAAATAGGGAAAAGGGGAAAATAAGACCACGTACTAACCAAAAAGATCAAATATGCTCTTATTTAGGAGGTTCTGTCTGGCCCACCATTTGGGGGGGTTCCCGGTGGAATTTTTTGATGAAATTGTTTGAGCATCGTATTCATTAAGCCTAGTTTTCTCATACCAAATTTCAGCTAAAACTTCAATCGGGGGGGCATTCAAATGACTTCTTCAAGATAACTGCGCTTTTAACTGCGCAAATATCTTCAAGAAGTCATTTGAATGCCTTCCCGATTGAAGTTTAGCTGAAATTTGGTATGAATAAACAAGACTTAATGAATTAGATGTTCAAAAAATTTAATAAAAAAATTCCACCGGAACCTCCCCAAATGGCGGCGGCCGGACAGAGACTCCTAAATAAGGGCCTATTTGACCCTTTTTGGTTAGTACATGAGCTTATTTGCCCATTTTCCCCTTCGAAATATGACGAATTCAAAAAATTGAACCCATATTCAATTTAAGTTGAGCTTAAATTATCATTTCGTTAATTATCCTACAAAATCATTCAACCTAGGGAAACTTATGAGTACACACATCTAATTATAGTATTTTTATGAAAATATTACATACTTTATTCTGACCCTGTACGGCTCCACCAATTATCTTAACTTTCATGAGTCCTTTTACCATTTTCACAAACATGTACTTCTGCTAAATGAAAAAAAAAAACATTTTTTCAAACCTGGTGAGGACTTGCACATGGAAAATTAAAATTAAAGAAGATATACGATTCACAGGATTTAAAAGAAAATACCTCTACTAGACTTAACTTGAAATTCCTTATCGTATCTGTCAAACTTATTTTACATCCCAAATTTTGTATCAGTTCTCCTTTTCAAAGGCTTTCAATTCATCTTAAGCGTAATAGAAGCAAAATCAGAACCGAAATCACAAGATAATTGATGAAAGAGGGAAACGTCATATGTCTGATGATGTTTTCTGTCCAATCTGTAATACTGAAGAGGAGACGGTGCTTCATGTTCTTCGAGATTGCTCTTTTGCTGAATCAGTTTGGAGAAGTGGTGGCTTAGATATACAAAGGATAGGGGATGATAGGCTAAGTAGTTTCGAATGGGTTCAGAGTCACTGCCAAAATGCTAGGGATGTTTCTGGCAGAGTTCCACATGCTACCAAGTTTGCCTACATAGCATGGTTGATCTGGAAAACAAGAAATGTTTGGATTTTCGAAGGAATTCCACCCGATGTAAAGAACTTTGAGGACTGCCCATTTTTTGACAGAGGAATATGCTGGTGTGCTCACTTGCAACAAGGTCAGACAGAGTAAAGTCGCTAAGCCTATTAAATGGATCCCACCAGAACCGGGATATTTTAAACTTAACTGTGATGGATCTTGTTAGGGACAAGATAAGGAAGCCGGGGCGGGTGGACTGATACATGATCACAAAGGGGAATGGATTGGTGGCTTTATACTGAATATTGGGAGAACCGATAGTTACAAAGTGGAGCTTTGGGGTCTTAGACAAGGGCTTTTGTTGGCTCGAGAACTCGATTTGACTAAAGTGATAGTGGAAGTGGATTCAGAAAGTGTTATTAAAGCTGTGAAGCAAAGCGATGGAAAGAATATTAATACTATGGGAGTGCTTGTTCGAGACTGCCAGAAGCTACTCGCGGAAGACATATTTATTCAAATACAACACACTTTTCGGGAAGGGAATGCTTGTGCTGATAGATTGGCTAACGCGTCGCATCAAGCTCCTAAAGGGTTAACTAGATTGCCGAATGCACCTGCTTGGATTCGTTTTCTTTGGGAGGATGCTAATGGATTAGAGACTATTAGATTTTTTCCTTTCTGATGTATCAAAAAACAATTGATGAAATATAGGCACTAGAAGCGCAAGAAATGGCAAACGAGGCCTAATGTACGTACTAAAAAGAGAGCTGGACATGTGATAGAGAAGTAATTCATCCATCTTTCCATGCAGTGGAACAAACAAATCCTCTAGTTCAGAACAGGAATAATGGACCAATGGTAAATTGGTAAGACGGTAAATTGGACTAGAAAATAACATCATCATAACTTTGCCTCTCTATGTAGGATGATACGAAGTACGTACAAATAGGAACAACATCTTTGATGCTTTTCCTCCAAACCAAACTTTATGAGAAACATGTTATGTATCAAGAAGGCATTGTGCAAAAACACCTCTCTAACCAAACTATATTGGTATGGATCATTGGTTAATACTACGTATCTCAAAGACAAGACAGTTATTGGACGAGACCAGAAAAATTTCAGTCCAATTAAAACCATCCTTATGCTTTATTTGGAATTGAAGTAGTGAACATCATTGTATTTAGTTCATGCACATGTATCTTTTAAAAATGCACTCCTTTTTTTTGTTGCTAACACAAAGAGTAACATTTGGATTCTGACATCAAAGAGTTGCAATTTGCAAATTAAGATGTTATCAAGTCTTTACATTATCTATTGATGATCTACAAGCGGAAACACATTAATTAGTGATCTATAAATAATGAATTATAATCGCTCTCAGATAGATGGAGAGGCTTAGGTCAAGCTGCTGGACTAGACAAAAAGTCCTGCAATAGGGCATCATGGAAAAACACTACGCCGCTAACATTGTAACAGAAGACTGGAGTCGAATTTCCAGTGTCAACGTCCCAAACAATATAGTCATTATAGTGGATGCTACTCACAGAACATAAGTTATGATGAGAATAAGTGCTCCATGTCTGGCCTTGGCTGTACATATGATGTCAAGAAGGGTGCTCAAGGTTTAGCCTTAGCCTCCAGTCACGAGAAATAGATTGTCTTGAACTCTTGACATATGGAAGGAGAAACAACCTTTAAGGAGTGTTTGGGTTTGCTTAAAAAAAGCGCTTTTCAGCTTTTGGCTTAAAAAAAGTTGAAAAGAGTGTTTTCAAATGACAACTTCTTCTTAAATTAATCACTTAAAAGCTAAAAGCTGGAAGCAGATAGAAGGGTGCTTTAAACTGCTTCTCACTTTTTCTATTACACAAAAAGTACTTATTTTACCAAACACTACCAACTTTTACTTTTCCAGAATCACTTTTTTCTCAAACACTACCAACTTTTACTATTAATCACTTTTCCCAAAATCACTTTAAAAAAATCACTTTTTTAAGGTTAAAGCAATTGCAAACACTCCCTTAGCTGGGCTAATAGGGCCTTATTGGTCTCTTTGTGCGGCCCTAGGGCCTATTCTGTAAACTATTGCTTGATAGGTTATTGACCTATTGTTCCTACAGGAGTGGGTGAAAAGATCTTTTATAAGAGATTAAGAAAAGAATTACATATAAAAAAAAATGTAATAAATATACTGTATACAGGTAGAATAAGAAAACGGCAGAGAAATCCATCTGCCCATCTGGGAAGGAAATTTTGTAAGAGAAACTCTCCTAACAAAATACATAAATATAGAAATGAAACAAAAACAAAGAGGAAAATGGAGTAAAAAAGTGTGTAGGGATAAAAGTGAAGAAAGAAAAGTACAAGGGAGAAAAAAGAAAAAATTACTCCCTACATGGCACTGTTTTCATAAGATCTATGGAAAGTGGTGAAATTATTAATGTAATGTTTCCAAAAAGAAAGATAAAAACATGATATAGCAGATCATCAATCAGTCAAGCACCAACAATGAAGATGAAATGCAAATGTTATACTATTGTGAGATTACATAAAGTTGGGGCTATTCTTATAATACCAGTTAAATGTGGGGTTTTAGTGATAAATGGCTTATATTAGAATGCTCAAACTCATAATGGATACAACAAAGTCAAATTAAAAAGATGATTCAATTTAATTAAACTTCTTACCTGATATAGGAAACATAAATGAGTATGGTTTCAATTAGGAGTAGACAAAGTTCTGGTAAGTTCGGATAATAGTTAAATCTTCAAGAATTGTCGGTTCCATTAAAATGGATACATTCAATCCGAATATACCAATTCTCAAAATAGGAATTGAACCTTGTACCCCCATCCCGTTTGAATGGATCGATTCGGATCTGGTTTTCAGTTCTTTTCATTTGGAAAAAATGCCGCTCACTAGCAAAGTAGCTACTACGTAACAACATTATCGTATCAAATAAATATCAATGTCACCATAATGATCTCATTCTGCCACAAAGTCACAAAGAACAGTGCATACCCCACTAGTAGAGGAAATAAAGAGAAAAAGCATCTTCCTCGCGAGAAAAAAGAGCATCCTAAATTTAACGCTCCCTATCGTTCCTACACCAGCAGGCATCCCTAACCGCAAAAGTTTGGACGAAATCAGGAAAGGAAATGTTTGGCAGGAGAAGGTTTATGTCGTTTCCCCTTGTAATTGGCGCAGTCATGATAGGAGTTGTGTCTGGAAAGGCTATATTTGGTCAGCCAATGGAATACTGGAAGAAGAAGCTTCATGAGGAAGAAGCTGCAAAAGAAAATGATGTAAGCTCCACTACAAAAGGAAAATAAAAGTTCAGATTTATGTCATATACTTCTGAATTTCCTGCAGCTATAAACATGTGTTCCTATATTAACTGTTTGGGTCCAAGGATAAATCTTCATTACTGACGAGTTGAAATCTCCAATTTCAACTTTTAAGTATACCAGCAAATCTACGGCCAATGAGGACGGTTTGTTGATGGAACATTAGGGGAGAAAAAACCTTGACCTTAATTCAGAGGTTTACATAACAAACGTTATTGATTGGTGGCAAAAAAAATGTCAGCATAATATAGTAAAGTTTCAAAATAAGCAATTCAAACAAAAATTAGAGTTAGCTAAGGAAATCTCTAAACACAAATCTATAAATTAAATAGCATACAACCACGGAAATTCAATAATACCAAAATTTGAAATGTGGAAAATTAGATTAGTCACTATACATCCATGTCTAAGAAAGACCATTTACATTCACTTAATAGGGCCTTATTGGTCTCTTCGTGCGGCCCTAGGGCCTGTTATGTAAAGTGTAAACTATTGCTTGATAGGTTATTGACTTATTGTTCCTACAGGAGAGTGGTAAATGCATGCAAATTGGCATGTTTCCTCTTTCTGACCCATTACTGTTACGAAGGAATATGGCTATAATTGCTGCTTCTATTTTAAAAGTATAAGCAGAATCAGAATCAGTTTTCAGAAGCTGATACCCCCAGCTTCTAAAAAAACTAATTCTGAGAGTAAATTAGAGCTCCAGAAGTGCTTTTGGAATTTCACCCAAACACTCCAGCTTCTGTTTTTGCTTTATGAAGGAGCAGAATCAGTTTTGAGAATCAGATTCAAACACCCCCTATATATGTTAACTTGCACCATTGTATTCCAATATCCCATTATAGCAATTGAAAAGTTTTCCGGATTCAGAAAACAGAACTGTTTGGGAAAAAAAGTACTTAAAGAAAAAGTACTTAAGATGTCATCTTTTCGAACTACTCTAAACTGAAAAGCTTTATGCAGAATTAATCAAAAACTTCTTTCACAGCTAAATATAGTCTTTTGTATATTTAATTAACCCTATAAAAGTAACTTGACGTTCACTTTTAAGCACAAATACAGCTCAGGTCTAACATACCCATCCGTGTAAAATAGCCATAACAGCACCATGGAAAGAAATACTCCCTCCGTCCCCTTTTAAATGTCCCGGAAGAGGGTGACACGAATTTTTAGAAAAGTGGGTTTGTGTGGTTGGTATTAATTGATAAAGTAAGAATAAAGTAAGAATGATTTTGAGCCACACAAACTTTACCAAATAAGGTATGAGACAATTAAATAGGGACATTCCAATATGGTAAAATGGGACATTTAAAAGGGGACGGAGGGAGTAGTGATTACTTAGTATTTCTTAAATAATTCAACTTATGACTAAATATATAGGATTCAAAATGGAGAAAATACAATCAAACACCTTGGGAACAAAAAAGGAGTAACATATGACATGCCTCGATGTATTTGAGCACTTGAGCTTCACCTCATATTGTCATCCCTCCTTTTCTTCATCCTTTTCCTCAAATTGGGACCTATCCATTTGATCTTCTTGGAAAACTGTTTGTGTTGTTCATCAATCCAAGCATATACATGAGGTGAAGCAAGACTTTCAACGTAAAAACATGTATCAATGATGTCTTCATACTCTTCATCTCCTATCTTAATTGATACAGTCTCTGCTTCTTTTGTCTTCATATCCACAGCACATATGTCCCCGTGACCCAAATTCAATATTAGAACATTATTCTTCAGAGAATAAAATGTTATTCTGCTATAGTGGCTAAAGGGCCTAAAACAGAGGTCATAATGTGAGATGGTATACAAAGTAACCCATGATTCTGCTACTCTATATTCCTTCATAGCAAGTACTTTTATAGAACAAATATCATGTAGAGCAATAGAAACACAACCCTCTATAACTCCCAAAGCAACCATTATGTCTATTGCTCCCTCCTCAACTTTGGGGGTAGGAAAAAGTTCAAACTTTTCGCTACCCGGATCAAAATATACCATCTCCTGGTGTTCTGTAAAGTCAAGATTAGTATTTAGAAATGGTGCATCATCTACTACCAAATGAAATATATTATGAAAGTGAAGGGATGCTCTGACCGAAAGCATGTAATGAGGGAGGGACACCTCTCTCCACTCTTTCTGTCTAAGGCTGGCAACAATAACCGAACTATCGCGAAATAATAGGAGGACCTTGTAGTCTCCTGTCGAAGAGTCATAACAAAATCCCGAATCAAATCTTCTAATAGAATCTGTCAAGCATTTATGCTCAAGCACTTTTGTACAATGTCGGGTGGATGGATTCAACAGGAAAATATGGGAATCCAACGACAGAAGCACAAGTCCATTGCAAGAACCCAAAACATTCACGTTCACGCACTTTTTGAAAGACGTTCCTTTATGAAAGGATAAATGCTTTGTGAAATCGTAAATGTTTTCAAGCCAAAAGTCGTCGCTAAAGGAACTAACCCTAATTCGTCGTTCATTTATGTTGGAATAATTATGCCTACCCGATACCACAATCACTCGTTCTTTGTGAGAATAAGAATGCCTGAAATGCGAATCTTGAATTAACGAACGCCGCTCTTTACAAACGCTTTGGAGACGGAGGAGAGATTTTACCGGCAACCGTAAAAGTATAGAGCAGAGGATATCCGTCGGCGGCGTCCTCGTCGAACGCTTTCTGAGAGAATTGGAGACTCGAGTTGTCATGCTCAACGCAGGGTTCGACCGTCCGAGGAGAGATTTTACATTTTTAGCTTCCAGTTTTACGGCCTTGAAAAAACACCTTCTTAGAGGATCCCATGATTCCCATCCATTAGTTTATTTGAGGATGACGATGTGTAATATTATTTTAAAGATTATAATTATGAGTGAGAGATTATTTAGTGAGATTATTGAAAAAGAAAATTCAGTATCAAGATTTCAATTCCGGATTATTTCATATTGTAGTTAAATTACATTTAATGCATGTCCAGAAAAAATTGATTATTTGAGTATTATTGTTGATGAAAAGTTTTAGGCTTTGAGATTATTTAAAATTTATTGAATACATGTGATGTGGCAATGATGTGTAATAAAAAAATCGTTTATTTAAAGAGCATGAATGGAGATGCTCTTAAAGAGCAATTCCCCAGCGGTAGGTGCTACCTTTTTTGCACTTATACGAATAAGCAGTTATGCGAATACAGTATGGTGATATGATAATTTCAAAAATAGAAATTACTCCAAATAGGAGTAAAACTAGACTCAAGTTCAAAAACAGAACTTTGTATATTTTTATTTCAAAATAGGACCAAATTGCTCCTATTATGAAACATAGAGAAATTAACATTACATTTTTGCCCCTCAACCTATTTCTCCCGCTTATGTGCACATCACACGGTCGATTTCAGCAAACCCAATCAAATCGCCTCTTGCGTCTCTCCTTCTCCTTTGCATCTCATCCATGGAGTTCCTCTCCCCCTACATGTGAGATCGCTCATCTTCTTCTTCTTTTCGCATCAAATCGATCAATTCCACCGACACCGCACACCATCGTCGACTCCCCAATCTAGCCATTACGCTATCATTCTCTTTGCCGCAGAGTCATGTCCGTTCTTCTTCTGCAGAGTCTCTTCTCCTTCATCTCATCTCTTCATCTATTTATCCATATCAGTTCTCTCAACAAATATATAGTTTTCCAAGTCATGTTCGTATTGCATTCACATTTATTTTAGTAGCATACATTATCTATTCATGATTAAAAATATTAGCTGAAAAGGGTTTCATCCATGAGAACAAGAGTACATTTTCCATGAACTAAACAATTTTGCCTTTTACTGTGGTGCATTCTCACGATGCGTAGATAACGAGAATCCAATAATGCAGATCCTTTTGAAACCTTTATTGGAAATGCAATAACTTTGATGTTCAGAGTAGTGGCACCACTGATAAAATCAATACCAATATTCAGGTGCAATTCATGCTCTGTCTCACTTTCGTTATTTAAAATTTGAATATAATTCAAACATTGGACTTTTATACTAACAACTTTTTTACCTTCTTATCAAGAAATATACATTCAAATGATCAACTTTTTTGACCTTCTCATCAAGAAATCAAGAAATATACATTAAAATGATATTAATTATAGTACATCTTGAAAGCCTGAAGCTTAATTAGCAAATTTTATTACAGCCAAAAATTGATATATTTTGCATTTATATACTTGTAAGTGTATGTTGTCTAATAATACCGCCTAAAAATGAGGTGTTTCTGTAAGAAACCAACAGCCCAAAAACTTTTTCTCCCAATGAGAGTATCAACTTCTCATCTTCTGCAATACATCAGTTGAGTGGCTGACAACGAACTCCCAGTATTTTGACCATCTTCTTCACAATCTTACCTCATACCCTCCCTCTTCTATCTCCTCTCCAATTACAATCCCATGCCTTATTATCTTGGGATGCCTCAGCCAACAATCTAACCCTCTCATTCTGATAATACCCAAAGCCTACGCCATCCAACTTCCATAATATCAATTTTCTATGTTCATCAATCTATTGAGGATGTGAACTGTCAACATATTTTCTGATCTGTAATAAGTTCCTGTAATTTTCAATCGTGTATTCTACGTACGTAGTATATAATCATAGAAATTACTTCTGATATGATGAGTTCAAGTACTAAATATTATTGCTTTGAGTAAACCAAAATCATGTTTTCAATTCAATTCTATAATATGACTAAATTAGATTTTTTTTGTAAAATTAGACTACTAATAATGTAAAACTATGATGGATAAGGTTCCATTTCATAATTAGTTTCATAATCTTTTGTTTTCTAAATAATCTAATTTATTAAAATTTCATATCTGGAAGAAGATTCTATTGGCTAAATGTTTTACTTTTCGTTCAACCAAATCGCTCTTTTTGTTTCTAAAAGGAGGTGTACTTTGCACTCAAATAAGATACTTTCAAACCCAGAATTCCCAATGAGTATTAGTTGAGCACTCCACAACAATCTGATACATGTTTTGTATATATAGACATGCATGATGCATCGCATAAACTTCAAATGCTTCACTTGGTCCATATCTCTCAGCTCAACAATGATCACAAACACGTTCCTCAAAATCTGATAACCTGTTGATAATCAAAATACCAAAATGATGTTAACCCTACCTTGATGAGAATATATAGCTACTATATTTTCAGATGGAGAATTTCTCAGATGGAGAATATATGGCTACTAAAAAATGAGGTGTTGGAATGGGGTGGAGATGCCGACTCGGTTGAGGTATTTATAATGTTTTCTCCCTGGTGGATTAATTTTGAACAGGTATCCAAGTTTGATAGCTGTATTATTTGTCTTTTCCACTTCAACCGAGGAGCTGTGTTTTTTGCACGTGAACCGAGATGAAGAGACAGCTTGGTGTGCGCACGCCTTGGAACAGCCTGGCCAGACTTGATGGGTGCTTTAGAATGTGTGTATTGTTGAACTTTAATTAATGTTTCTACTGTGCATGAGTAAACATAAAGTTTTGTAATGTAGCTTTCTGTAAATAGCGACCCAATTTCTGCCAATTTGGCACTGTACACGTCTGTAAAATTCGGCCCAGCTGTTTGATTTCATCATTAATTGATGTTGTTCAATTTTAACCTTCACAGGGCTATCCTTCTCAGGGCTATTTATGTAATTTACGTTATGGACTCTTACCTTAGGACTTTGGGCGGGAATACTGTTGAAAAAACCGTGTTTTCATAGATTTTGCTTTTATATATTAGTAGATACTCCCGGCCATTTTTACAAACCTTGGGAGCATTTACTCACGGAAACAAAAATCAAAAGAAGCTATTAAAATTAGGGGTGGGACCTGGAACCGTAAAATCGGGAAAACCGATCCGAACCGAATCGAAATTTCCGGTTCGGATCGGTTCCTATAGTTTTGGACTTCGGCTTTTTTTGGTTCGGTTCCTATAGTATTTCATCGGTTCAGTTTCGGTTTGGTTCCAGTTCGGTTCCGGTTCCTAACCAGGAACCGAACTTCTTATACATTGCATGAGTAATCTTCATTTGAGGTACTTCTGGGTGAATTTTTTTTACAAAACTTTGTGAGCTTGTTTTTCATGAAATTAAGATTATGTCCACCAAATGTGAGCTTAAAATGTACGCCAACATATATAAAAACGCAATGTTTTTCAATATTTTATTTAAGTCACTTCCCGATTGAATGTTAAGCTGAAATTTGGTATGCATAATTATATATCATGTAGAGCATGCTTACAAAATTTTATCAAAAAATTCTACACGGAAGCATCTCAAATGGAGGTGGCCAGACGCCGTTTCGGGCAAAAACATTCTTGTCAAGAATATTTATCTTGCATAACATACCTTATATATTGTGGAACAAGCCAATCCGAGTAATTATTTTAATACTTTAGTCCACTTTTATATTTATTGTTTGTTTGTAAATGTATTTGTTATTGCATGGAGTTTATCTAAAAAGGAATTAATATTCTGTTGATTACGTTGTTAATTACTCCGTACTTTTTACTTATTGTGCATTACTAGTAGAAGAATATTACTTTGGGATTGAACTACCTGCTATTGGATGTCTACTTGGGTGATATTGAACCTTTTTGCTTGAATATTAAGTAGGCATCAGCCTACTTTACAGCGAGATTTTTGTTATGTTGAAATTTAATGTTGCACTTGGATATTATTTTTATTTATATTTGAACATTAAGATATCATGCATGTATAATGTAATGGTCATAATTTCATGATTTATAATTTGAATTTTTTTTATTTAACTGTAGGTAAAATGGATTTTTTTTCCGGAATAATGCTAATTAAATAAATAATTCCCAAAATACTGCTGGGTTAAAAATAATTCCCAAAATACTGCTGGATTAACCGTGGTTAAGGAGAGCCGCCACTTGAAGTGGCGGTTTTTCGGAGGCAGTACAAGAGCCGCCACTTCAAGTGGCGGCTTTTGCAAAGAAAACTTACGTAACTAAGGAAGGCCAAAGACAAACAATAAATGGTGATGGGTCCCACACAAATTTAAAATCTCCTCTTTTCTTTGAAGTGCTGTAACTTTTTTCTTTGTACTCTGATTGTTACAAAAAATATACCAAAATTCATAACTTTTTATTATCTTCCATTTGACACCAATATTGAATAAATAAAATTAAAAAAAAAAAGACACCTCAAAAATTAGTACGCATCTGTTTTCAAAGTGTTATACGATAGTATATATTTTTTATTTGTATTCCGATTATTATAAAAAATATATCAATTTTTTTTCTTTTATAGGAAAGCAATGTTTTATATTGGAAAAAAATAAAGATCTATTGATTTTTTGTAGTTTACAATCGTTTTTTTTATCATGCACACTATTAATCGTTTTCAAAGTGTTATACGATAGTATATTTTTTTTATTTGTATTCCGATTATTATAAAAAATATATCAATTTTTTTTCTTTTATAGGAAAGCAATGTTTTATATTGGAAAAAAATAAAGATCTATTGATTTTTTGTAGTTTACAATTGTTTTTTTTTATCATGCACACTATTAATCGTTTTCAAAGTGCTATACGATAGTATATTTTTTTTATTTGTATTCCGATTATTATAAAAAATATATCAATTTTTTTTCTTTTATAGGAAAGCAATGTTTTATATTGGAAAAAAATAAAGATCTATTAATTTTTTGTAGTTTACAATCGTTTTTTTTATCATGCACACTATTAATCAAGAGTGATAGATCAAAATAAAATTACACAAACTCCATCACATTTATTTATTTATTTATTTATTTATTTATTTATTTATT